AGATGTGTGATTGCTGATTAAAAATGTAAAGCAGAAAAGTGCTTTGAAAGCACTTTTTTCCTTTTCGTGTTTGTGATATTCGTGTATTTGGACAGTAAGGGACGCTGTTGGTCAGAGAAACTAGTATTCAGTGCTGATTTGGTGGAGGCAGAGGCTTCCTTTTTCCCGTTTGCTGAGGATCGAAAATAAACGGTGGGCTTCGCATTCAGAACTGAAGTCACAAATCCGTTAAGAGCAAGGACTTCAAAATCAAAGGATACTGGATATAACAGCCTTTGTTCTTTGTGGATCGTTTACAAAAGGATTTTCTGCAATTTTCGTTTTTTGTGTGTGCAATGGCGTTTAAAAACTCGCCTCGGTCGTGTGTAAAATGGCGTTTGAATTTCAGGTCAGTATGGCCCTTTCTGCTGTTTCTGGGCTGCCTCAGTCACATCGTGTTTGGACAAATCAGGTATACAATCCCAGAGGAGCTTAAAAGGGGCTCTCTTATTGGAAATGTAGCTCAAGATCTCGGTCTGGATGTGCAAAGGCTTCGTTCTGGCCGTGCCCGTATTGTGACCAGACAAAGCATCCAGTTCACGGAGCTGAAAACAGACAAAGGCATTTTAGTCGTGAACGAGAGGATAGACCGAGAGCAGCTTTGTGGAGACGTAACACCATGTAGCTTCAGCTTTGAGGTTATTTTAGAAAATCCTATGGAGCTGCACCGAGTAACAGTAGAGATAACTGACATAAACGACAACTCTCCGACATTTAGGAAGGAAGAAATGAAATTTGAAATTAGCGAGTCTGCGACACTGGGATCGCGATTTTTATTGGCCAGCGCGGAGGACGCAGATGTGGGCAGTAATGGTCTACAAAAATACATATTAAACACAAATGACATGTTTGGTCTGAAACAACACTCAAGTCCAGATGGTCGAAAATATGCTGAGATGGTTTTACAAAAACCGTTAGATAGAGAAAGTGAGCCAAAAATATCACTGAAGCTCATCGCTATAGACGGTGGAACTCCGCATAGATCTGGTACTGTAAATATAGATATTACAGTGCTGGATGTTAATGATAATCCTCCAGTGTTTAACCAGTCTCTCTACAGGGCTGCCGTTTTGGAAAATTCATTAAGAGGTACCTACATCACGACAGTGAATGCAAGCGATGCAGACATCGGGTCGAACGGTCTTGTTACATATAGATTTTCAAACATGAAAGAACAGCTGGCTGACATATTTCATTTAGATGAAGCTATGGGAACTATAACACTCGCAGGGCACCTAGATTATGAAAAAGAAAAGAAACACGAAATTATGATTGAAGCTACGGACCAAGGAGGTCTAACAGATTCGAGCAAAGTTCTAATTGAGATTATAGACGTCAATGATAACGCACCTGTTATAAATGTGATGTCATTCTCCAGTCCTGTGCCGGAAGATTCTCCCTCTGGCACCACAGTCGCAATAATAAACGTAATAGATGCAGACTCAGAACAAAATGGTCAAATTAGCTGCGCAACAGACAGCGGTCTCCCGTTTAAAGTGAAATCCACAATAACTAATTACTATGCATTAATAACAGTGTCAGCTTTTGACAGGGAACTTGAACCTGAGTATAACATAACTGTAAGGGCGAGTGACTCAGGAACGCCATCCTTGTCAAGCACAACAGTTTTACGACTGAGAATTTCTGATGTTAATGACAATGCGCCATTATTTGATAAAAACAGCTACCTTGCTTACATTACAGAAAACAATTCCCCGGGAATGTCCATATTTTCGGTCAGCGCACGAGACAGTGACTGGAATCAAAACGCTAGAATATCATATTTTCTTGAAGAAACACAGATCAGTGGCAATCCAACCTCTTCTTATGTGTCCATTAATGCCGAAACTGGAGCTATTCACGCAGTTCGCTCATTTGATTATGAACAACTTAAAGAGCTTAAGTTTTTAGTCAGAGCACAGGATGGAGGCTCTCCTCCACTCAGCAGCAA